AGACATCAACATGCAAATAAAATCTCAAGATCTTCTATAAGTCACAACTGATTATAAGAAAACCTGACTTTAGATTTGAGGTTTTCCATTAAACCTAAAATATATCCTATTTCAAATATTTTCATTTAACTTTTGCTATGATGAGAAGATAAATGATCATTTGGAATTATTTAAGTAAATAATAATATGTACACACTGTAAAAATACCACATAGTTTTACAAGTAGGACATCTGCAAGGTGATTTTAATGATGCCAAAGCCTGTTTGTCATGACTCATGAGTATGACTCATCTGAAGCTAAGGAGAACATTAATGCATATTGTTTCTATATTTAGAATTAATTGCAATCAAATTTAGAAATAAGAAAATAGATTATTTTAACTATGGAAATTGTTTTCTCTATTCACAAATGTTCAGGATCCAGCATACATGTGTATATACAGTGGCAACTTTACATTCTTATTCCTGCTTTAAGGTTATTAGCCATGAATGCCAAAATATACCTTGACATTTATGGCTTTGGGTAAAAAGATTTAAAAATAAAATCACCAAATACTTGTCTCACAAACCCAAGAGATAAAGAGGCCAACACATCCTTATTTCAAAAATTCAAATCAGCGTCTAAATCTTCCTAGATCGCTTTCACCTCCTAAGTTGGAAAACGTATTCCATGATCATAGGACACTTGGCCAAAAAGGAATGGAAATAAAAATCATAAATGATAATGTCTTCTAGATAATTTGGGAGGTTTTTTTTTTCTACATGCAACCCACATTCAACTGTCCCTATCTATATTATGCAAAATTTAGTAGTTCAAAATATCTTAAAACTTTTGCTAGCCTCCTATTAGTTAACATTTGCTCCCTTCACATTCAGTTGAATTTTTCTTTCTAACTGTGCTAATTAGCAATTCTGCGACTGCCTTGTGCATTTTACATGATATAGTAGCATTTCAGTAGTGGGGATAAGGGTGATATAATATCTCAAATAGTTTGAAATAGAAGCAGTTCCTCCTGTACTGTAAAAATACCTGTAGATACTTGAGGATAGCATGCATACCTACATTTTCCATGTGTAAATTTCTCAGCATACCCAAATGTATATATGAACGCACACAAAGTTAAAGTCAGAATGTTTATGCTCTAAAATGAACATTGCCTTTAGAAAATCAGACATGACTCTATACTCAGAACCAAAGTCTAGTACAAGTCTGAAAAATTGTTTCATTACTTGAAGAAGTTGTCAGATGTTAATAGGTCACTTTTTATTTATTTATTTATTTATTTTTACTTTAACATTTTCATTTACACCCACCTCTCCCCAGAACAAAAAGCTCACTGGGACCTAGAAAATTAATTCCCCAAATGCTGTCAACTTGGATGGAAACAGCAATAAACAGTTTACTATAAAGCCTCCAGCTACAATAAAACTGCTGTCAATAAGTGGGCCAAGAGTTGTGCTATACAAAAGCAGGTCCTCTGGATATGATAATATGAAAGGAAAAGGAGCTAACACTTCTTGTTCCAGTATGCTAAAGCAGCAATTCTCAAAGTGTGTTCCCCAAACTAACAGCATCAATGTCATCTAAGAACTGGTTAGCCATGTAAATTTCCAGACCTCACCCCAGCGATAATGGGGTCTAACAACTGGTGTTTTAAGAAGTTCTCCAAGTGATTCTGAGTCATCCTACAATTTGAACACTATCATATTTTAAAATCATATCCATCAATAATATTGTTTCCCTTTTAGGTATAAATATCAATAAACTTTATTACTTCAGGTCTTACTATAATTGATGATGTTGTCATCTTCAACCTTAGAGCGGTAAACCTTACTATTGTTACAAATAAAACCAAGACATCATCTTTTGTCTAAATAAATAAATAAATTCTCAATCTGTAAAAGCTGAGCAAATTTTCTAAAAATGTATAAAAATATTTTATGGGAAATTCAATGACAGACTTGGTATATTCAAGAAAAATGAAACCTTGGTAATATAGATTGAATGAGGAATATGATTTACAGTTGTTTTGTGTGTTCTTCGCAGGTGAACACGAGGGGAAACAGCAAGAGAAAAAAGCCAAACAAAATAAAAATTGATACATCACATACAAATCCATGATGTAAAAGTCAGGTATTATGTTTTCATTGTATAAACCATCAAAACTAATGATATGCGCGTTTAGTAACTTTTGCTCAAGAGTCTTGCATTTTATCCACCTATCAATCAGCACCATAAAGTGACAAGGTATTCTGTTAATAGCAATTGTGCCTACCTAACTAAAAATCTTCACACATTATATATTCATTTATAAGTTCCTATTGAAAACTTTTGTTGTAATAAAAATTCCTTTTTCAAAATCATTTGGCTTCCAGGGCACATTTTCTATAAAAAACACTAGTTGAAGTGAAGAAACTAATTTTTAAAACCTTTTTAACTAGGACGTCTTCAGAGACCAATCACATAGTTCAGGAAAAATCCATTGTGCTGGGTAGTATATAATTCATATCCTTTATTCATAGAAAAAATGCTTCTATTTCCTATACTTGTACACATTGCTCTGTGAATCACTATCACTTCTCTTCTTACTTTCTTCATTTCCGCCAACATCAAAATGACTTTTTTTTTAGGAAGAAAACTTTTAGAAAGTGTAAACAAAGCCATTTCAATACCTCTTTATCATAATAGTGGCTTACAGCTACACTTGAATATGAGAATGCCTACATAACCGCAAAGTGACACGTGGTCACAAGGAATGTCTAAAATGCACTTTAGTTCCAATTAGAGAATTGTTTAGCATCCTAACCAGAAGATGACATCATACAAGCAAATATTTTTATAACTAAGTCTCAGCAAAAAGTCTTTTCCGTATACTGCTGAAATTAACTTCACATTTATGTCACTGCACTTTCAGGGAAAAGTTAGAAAAAGTGGGTCTATACATCAATGTGAATACTGACCACACTTAGATGAAAAGAAAGATGATGTGGGAAGTGTCATATATCAATTTTTTTCTTTGGAAAACAAATTTCCAGATTCCACATGCAAAGTTTTAAATCACATGAGTTTTGTCACGGCATGATGCAAATCATAAAAGAACATCAGTCTATTCTCAGCCATGAAAGTAAATAATAAATTTCCTTTCAATTAAATGGAAATTCTTAATGAAACACATAAATTACCTTTCCTATCATAATTAACTATTTAACAACTTTTAAAAAGCCTCTAGTAAGTAGATGATTTCTAAATTTGAAAACATCAACCTTTTTTCAAATGCTGATGAAGTTAATACAAAAACTAGTTGTTCCAACTTCAACATGTATCTAATAACCTCATAATCTCCTCTATGACTTCTATACTGAATTATTTTAAATTTCTTGATTTTGTGTATTTAAGTTTTAGGTATGAACTTTTAAAACACTTTTGATATTTAATATTTTACTTTTAAAAATAGAGATAGTTGTATAATAAGCTTATACTTAAGATTCTGGGACTATCTGCATGATTCAGTGTCCAAAATATTTTTATAACAATCTTATTACCACGAAGCCTTAAAGTCATTTCAGAGTAATAAATAACAGATGGTCAGGGGAAAAACAGAGTTTCAATAATACACTCTACTGCACCCAACTCCCAGAAAAGAAAATTCTTGATCTTCCAAAGACTAATCAATGAATGGCAATACTGTCCTGTAAATTAATTTTGCTGTCTTAATTTTTCTGAAATCCTTATGTTCCTTATGTTTAACGAATGCAGATGGGCCATCACCATAAATGGACTCCATACCAACAAAGACAAAACTTGGATTACAAAATCCTAGAAAGTTGGTGTAGGGAGAGTGAATCACAAGAGAGCAAGCAAATGAACTTAAATGCTAGTTGCTCCAGAGCAACTATCATTAAATAAAAGGTATCTTTGGCTGTACTACCAGCTTGATCCTTCCCTCCCCCTTTCTCTGCTACTGCGGGATTGGCACCTGGCCAGCACAAGCGACATGATACCCTAGTGCCATCTACAGGCTATTATCGACATTCAAATTTTGTGGCAACAGACAAGCACCAGTGAAATAAATTAGACAGCGCTGCATTTAAATCTTTATTAACAAGGAATTATTAGACCTAAGAAAAACTAATTCTGGATTTGGTTGAAATATGAATGTCTCAGCCTCTTAATCCCTCTTCATATGGCATATTTCACAGTTTAAAATGAGTTATGACAGATCACTTATGCATTACTAAGATGAGAGAATATTTACAATGGATTCATTCTTTTCACTATAAATCAGTTATGTTAGGGAGAAAGCATTCCTTTTTTTTTTTCTTTTTTTTTTTTTTGAAAGAGTATTTGACCATCTTGGACACTAAAAATCTTCCTATTAAATACCGAATTTACTATATTACAATAAAATAATTTGAAATCAAAGAGAAAACTTCCTATATGGCTTAGTTGCAACCTATCAACAATCATGTGCTTCACAGCTGATGTACACTTAATACTCTACTATCTTGTTTAGATGCAAAAAAAAAAAAAATTAACCCCTTTAGCAACCATAGCTCCAGCATAATTGCAGTCAGACCTTCAAATGTCATTTAAAACTTGAGATTTGAAGGTGACTTTTTGGATGCAAAGGTAATATGGAAAATTTGGGACAGTCAATTCGGAAAGCCCAGAAGCGGATTTTGGCATATCAGAACAGGTTTTCTTTTTCAGCAAACATTATCTTGGGACATTTTGGAATAATTTTCTCCTTTCATCTTTTGCCATTTGAAGGAAATGAGGAGGTTAAATAATACTCAGAACTCAGAAATTTCAAAGCTGTTCTAAAAATTCTTGACAGAGCCCCAGAGGAATAAAAAAGGGGTCAAGTTTTTTTTTTTTTTTCCCCCTCTTTATAACTAAGCTAAAGTTAGACCCAAACAATAGACGCACTGGCACGTTAATACTGGTTGACTGGGCACTTGTATGCAGTACTTAAAGACCAGTAAAAGTGCTCGTTTACCTGTCTGGTGTGTAAGGGGCCCTTTGTCTTGAAGCCTCCTTGGGAACTGCACTCTGAGGCACTGAAGTGATCTGAACTAGTGGCAGAGCGTTTGGACAGGGTGGCAAAGAAAAAAGCCTCTACTTTTACTCCACCCACCTTCCTCATGTTAGGGTTACCAACACCCATGAAACACATATTCAAAGCCACACAACTCAACGTAGCAAAGGAAGGAAAGAAACCAAGATGAGGGTGATGCCCGGACAGGGTTCTTTCCATGACACTGTGGTATTTTCGCCAGTTGCCTGAACTAGCCAAATCAAGGAATTATTTTGGCATCACACAGCCCGCTGAACTCTGCTTTTTTGGTGAAGAGTCTGAGTAAGAGTGTAGTTAAAGACCCACCCTTGGTCACCCAGAAAGGAAAGAACTGAACTGCGCTAGGATATAGCATTTTGACGGAATTTTTGAGATTTTGGTTGAGTTACTTCCTTGCTGTCAGCCCACATGGGCCATTTTTAGGCAAGTCTACCAAGTCTAAGTATCAAGTGCAAATCCCAGGATGCTTAGCAACGGAGAAGAAAGATTTACAGAGGGTGTGGGCAACTGCTTCTTTCTCCTAAGACTCAATAAATCCAGCTGCCCTGTAAGGTGGTCCCTCCATCAATTACTACGAAAACGTTCCCTTCTCAGTTAACCACACCCGTGAGGAAGGGCAGTGATGCGGATAATGCAAAATCCATTTCTTTTTGGCTTGGGAAAGCATGATAATGAATTTTTAGCAGCACCTAATTATGTTCTACCGAAGATAATATTAAAAAAGTGTTTGCATTCTCTGAGCACATATTAAGTGATAGTGTGAGGAGTCGAGCTGGAAGAGGAACCAGACTTGGAATTAAACATTCATTAGAGGGGCCTACCAAGTGGATAATTCACTCAAATAACTGGGATATTCACTCTTTGGGTTTCCTTTTTTCTTTTTTTTTTTTTTGAAAGAGTATTTGACCATCATGGACACTAAAAATCTTCCTATTAAATACCGAATTTACTATATTACAATAAAATAATTTGAAATCAAAGAGAAAACTTCCTATATGGCTTAGTTGCAACCTATCAACAATCATGTGCTTCACAGCTGATGTACACTTAATACTCTACTATCTTGTTTAGATGCAAAAAAAAAAAAAATTAACCCCTTTAGCAACCATAGCTCCAGCATAATTGCAGTCAGACCTTCAAATGTCATTTAAAACTTGAGATTTGAAGGTGACTTTTTGGATGCAAAGGTAATATGGAAAATTTGGGACAGTCAATTCGGAAAGCCCAGAAGCGGATTTTGGCATATCAGAACAGGTTTTCTTTTTCAGCAAACATTATCTTGGGACATTTTGGAATAATTTTCTCCTTTCATCTTTTGCCATTTGAAGGAAATGAGGAGGTTAAATAATACTCAGAACTCAGAAATTTCAAAGCTGTTCTAAAAATTCTTGACAGAGCCCCAGAGGAATAAAAAAGGGGTCAAGTTTTTTTTTTTTTTTTCCCCCCTCTTTATAACTAAGCTAAAGTTAGACCCAAACAATAGACGCACTGGCACGTTAATACTGGTTGACTGGGCACTTGTATGCAGTACTTAAAGACCAGTAAAAGTGCTCGTTTACCTGTCTGGTGTGTAAGGGGCCCTTTGTCTTGAAGCCTCCTTGGGAACTGCACTCTG